GTTTTCTGAAAAGTTAAAATCCCTAGACAAGTAAACCACATACAGTGCTGATAAACGTGGGGTGTTGTTACACATTTGGATCACGCAAAAATTAGTCACTGAAAATGGCTTAATAAGCTACCATGAGCTCCAAAAAAATCCAAGAATAACTAATCCAAGAAGTAACTAAATTGTGAGATTTTAATGTCTTCAATTTGGACTAAAATGTAGAAACTGAACACAGAAGGGAGTCTGTCAGTTCATGGTGTAATCATTAAGAAATAAACAAATTAACTTTAGAAATGGAATAAAGTCTATTGGACTGTTATCTTTCTGCGCCTGTACCTAAGACCCCTAGTCTGGAAGACTTTCCATTCCGAGGGACATTCTGTGGTCACTGTGTTCATCTCCAGCCTCCCCCAACAGTAAACCCACGTGCTCACAACATGCATTCAGAAGGCTGACCGTAGCTCAGGCCCCGGAGGAGTTAACAGTGGTCATCATTGGTTTCTCTGGGACACAAAGCTTTAGAATGTCAAAATCGTGGGGTAAGGGCATCATTAAACCCAACACATAATGAAATAACCAGACTTTATGGGAAGCTCTTTGAAAATGGGCCCTTTGGGTTACTATCCCCGCACATCTGTCCAACATCCAACAGTGACCTGTGGCTTTCTTTTGTTTTGTTTTTGCACATTTTATTTTTATACCAAGTAATATTTGTTGTAAGCAAATGCATGATGATGCATGTCCGAGAATTGACAGGGGATGCTTTTAACCTTAATTTTAGCAATTGTATATTAACGCCTAATGCTAGCACACGGTAAGACGATTTCATGATGATGGCAGTGGTACTGTAGACAGTAACTTACTGTGGCACCTTGTGTATGTCAGAGACTGTTCTAAGCAATTTACACATGTAAACTCATTTCATGATAACTGATGGAAATGGGATGCAACCAGTCAGTCTCTCTGACAAGTCTCCCTGCTCCTCGCTGTCGTTCCCACCGGACTGTGTGGTCCCTCAAAACCAGCCGTGAAGGAAGCATTTTGAAGAGCTGAAGCGGGCACCAGGATAGTTTAGGTCCCCGTCTGTGTCCCTGTGTGAGCTATTGTCTCCGACTTGCAAATCCATTCTTCTATACTTGATCACACTGGTGCTAAGCTGCACCATTTTTATTTCTCTTTTTAAGATGCTTCCTGGTCCGTTCTGAGAATAGGAGGCGCTATAGGGAAGTGAGGCAGAAGGAAAATGGAAGGGACTTCCTCATTCCATTCTAAGGCTGTTCTTATATAAGGACTGTCCTGACAATGACCCTGAAATCCACAAGCTGCACTTGGATCAGCCTCTAGCTTCTTATTGCATTCCCAGAACCAGCTGCGTCATGCCCCATACATTGTCCACTTCTTCAATGTCTGGGCCCCAGCTCCTTGGGTATCTTTCCCAAAATGATAACCTTATCACCTTCTTTTCCTTCCCCACCCCCAAGGAGAGTAGCTGTTTCTTTTCTTTTTCTTTCTTTTTTTTTTTTTTTGATATGTGCCCCTAGCAGGAACTGAACTCAGGACTCTCTGGTCCATAGACCGACGCTCCAGCCGCTGAGTCAAACCGGCCAGGGTGCTGTTTTCTTTATTAGAAGATTCTGGGATGTATTTGGTCGTGTCCATGCCCGCTAATAAACACCAATGTCCTTTCCAATGGGAAATGAGATATAAATAATTCATAATATGAAGTCACATCACATTTAATTACAATCATTGCTTCTTGTTGATTGTAATGAAATATCCCGAGAACCAAGTGTCTTCAAACCTTCACTTTTATAGTAGTTCTAATGACTCCAAGAACTGTGGATGAGATGGCCTCTTTTGACTGTCCGGGAGGATCCACAGAGAGAAAAGTATAAGTTTGTGGCTTTTAATTCTCAGTTCAAGTAAGAGAGAACAGAAGAGCTTTCCTGGCGGTTTTTGAAGAATCCCTTATTTCTTGTAGCTGCCGGGCTGGCTTCTCATAAAAAGTAGAGTCATATTTGATTTATGCTGATTGTAGAATTTTAAGTCAAAATCTTACACCTGCCATGACTCTGGTGAGAGGGGCATCTACTGGGAAGGAACATGAGGCTGAGATTGTACGGTGACATTAGACTGAACTTGAACAGTGCTGAGAACCTGAGACCTCCAAGGCTCTCTACGACTCTCTTAGTAGTGGAGGCAATCAACCTTCCTGGATTATCCTGGAAATCTGCCGTCATTCTGCCAAGTAGAGAACTCTCGATCAACTAGCTGAGGAGCTGACTGAGAAAGGATAACAGGAGAAAGCTATTTATATCAACTACAGTCATGTCCCTAATTATAGAAATGGGGACTATGGAAGCCATGCATATTTTATTCCTTGCTTGCTATTATTTTCATAGAGATAGAGCTCTATCTAGCCATGAAGATCACATGGATAATTAGACGTACTGGTACTTGTATGTGGAATACTCTCTTTTGACCTCCCGTCTGTCCCTTTACTATTTTATATAAAGGTGTTTTCATCATAGACAGGTTTACGATTGAGTTTGGGGAAACAAAATATTCAAGTGATACTGTAATTTTATTGAAGATTAAATATCATCCCTCAGAAAAGGATACTGTGATTGTTGCTTAGAGATGGATACAATGACTGTTGATATTTTGTATCACCTTTTGGGACAAATAATGAGACATTTTTATTTGTATGAAGAATAGTTTCTTTTTATTATTGTAAAAGGGTATAAGTATAACCAAAGGGGGAATCATGTCAGTGATTAAGCATTTGTCTGTCAGCTCAGTATTCAGCCTTCTGCACTCTAGGTTGTGATGCTGAGGCTGGAACTGTGATTTTCATTTCTTCTCTGCCACTAGGGTTTCTGTCAGGTTCTCCCAGCAGGAGCCACTGCAGAGAGACTGGAGTGCAGGTGAACGGACAAGGAATGTTCTCCCTTTGGTTACTTGCTTTGCCTTTTGTTGTTGCCTACCCTTCACTTGCAACAATAAGTTGAGTGTCCAGGTTTCTGCAGCCCCAGAGCCAGCCTCACTGTGCCCTCCCCAAGGAGTCCACTCCAGCCAGTTCTCCTCCTTGTGAGTCAGATCCCGAAGTTCAGGGGTTCTCTCCCGCACCTTCCTGGGGTCTCAGGGCCGTGCAGGCAGAGCTCGGAGGGTTAGGACTCAGCTCTGAGGAGCTCCTCCTCTGCACCTGAGACACCACTGTCAGCCTGGTGGCACCCCGTCCTTGGAGGTCTGAACCCCAGCTCTGCGGTTTCCTTCATTAAGCTGCTATTTCCTAACAGAGAAGCAGGCCCTCTATCATTAGACTACCTTACTTTAGATAGTAAATCATAGTAATGAGACAAATATTAAGTTGATCAAAACAAAAGACCTTTAGAGGACATCCGATCTAGCTCCTAATTCTATAGATTAAAATAGCACAGAGTCTCCCAGAGACCAGGACGTTCTTTAGTAGGGGAGTTGGGTGGAGAGGGCATACTTCTCGCCCTTAGTTGAATGCTATTTCTATTCAAGTCGAATTTGTTTGGCTGTAGAATGTTTGCTTTTTTTTTTTTTTGATAAAAGCAAGAATAGTAACTCCAAAATATTTCTTTCTTGGTTGGAGCTGCAAGTGGTCTCAGTGATGTTTAAGACCCAGCAACTGCTAATTGGGGGATTTATGGATTTGCACCCACTGCAGCTCATGCTTTCTCCGACTCCTAGGTCCTGCCTCCCTTTGGCTGTTCTGTATGGGGCAATGGCCAGAGCTAGAGTCGGGAGGAGCTGGAGTGGTAGACAGGGAGGACAGTCTCCTTGTTTCCAGCTTCACCAAGGTGTAATAGTCAACTAAAGTTCCAAGATTTAAAGGGCATATATCTGAATTGTGAAATTATCCCCCTCATCAATTTAGTGAACACATCCATCACCTCACCTATTTACCTGTTTTTGTGTGTGAGAACATTTAGGTCCTACTCTCTTATCAAATTGCCATGATACAATACGACATTACAACTCTAGTCACCATGTTATACATGAGATCCTCAGACCTTACTCATCGTATAACTGAAAATGTGTTGAATGAGCAAAAGGAGATGAAGAATTGATGATTTGTATACAAACTCAAGTCGTTCTTTAGAGCAAGGTGACTGAGCTTGTCCATTCCCTACCTTCCATCTGTTGGCATCACCAGGAACACGAACGTTGGGGTAGAGGTAACCACTTCATTTCTCTGTACTTAAGGAAACTCTGCTCCCTGGCTTTATTAGACAGATCCAGATAACTAGGTTCCTTGTTGTTTTATTTAGTGATGTTCTCAGAAAGGTAGAAAATACAAGATATAACCACAGTCACAGCACACAAAGCTTCCTTAGAATCACTATTTTTTGCCTATAACTTTATGGAATTATGACGAACATATCATCTTTGAAAAGAAAGCTTAACAAGGGAAAGCAACACTGTATTGCAGTCCAGCTGAAGCGATGACCATATGCATACATAATTTATGATCTATGTATAATTCATATGTATACAGACAGCATGTTTTATTGAGGTACAATAGCGCAGCACAGTGAAAACAAATGGCGAAGCTCAACATCGGCGGTACAAGGCTGTGTAAAAGCTGTTTCACTAGCATCGAGGGCTCCAACATGCTGGCACCAACCCACTGATAAATATTCAGACTATTTACATTTTGCTCTCTTGAAAACTGAACCAAAATAAACATATTTTAAGGCAACCTTTGGAATTGTCAGCCTTTTGCATCTTACCTGCTTTTCACAGTGACAATTAAAACAATTAGAACAATGAAGGGTGAAGATTGGCAAATTCACCCTGAATCCATCTTATCCTCTTATAAAATTTTTCTCTACTGTACACAAAAGTCATATTTTTCATTAAACTTACTGGGGTGACATTGGTTAATCAGATCACATAGGTTTCAAGTGTACAATTTCCATGATGCTTGATCTGTGTGTTGCCTTGTGTGCTCGCCACCCAAAACCTTATTTTTCCGCTGCCCTCAACTTCCAATTTTGAGGAGTAGTAGTATTGCTTTTGCTTCATATATGCTTACCGACAGCTATGTGGTAGATTTCCAATTTTGATCTTGTGTTCGGAAAAGCACCTAACACAAGTCTCAATGCTGTTTCGTTTTTAATTCAGAAAACGAGAACTTATTTAACTCAGGGGGTCTTTTGTGCGAGCTACTCAATGCTGCTGCTCACTTCCATTGTGTCTTTGGAAAGATAAACGATCCAGTATACAAGGTTGAATCCTGCAAATGCGACTGGGAAGAGAATCCGAGAATACTGATCTATTTTGCTGGTGCCTCCGAAGGCCGGAGAGAGCGGTGGCGGTGTGGCGGGTGTCGCCGGTGTGGACGGGGAGAGGGGCGCTCTCATGAGAACTTTGCTGGCTTCTGGGGCTGGAACTATGGGCAAGGTCAGGGAGGTGATTCTCTTCTTCAGGTGGTACTTGGAATCGGGGTGCTGTGGGGAGAAGACATAAATATTCAGCCTAGGTAAATAATAGACATCACTTATTTAGATTCCTTTTTTTGTTGTTCATCATTGATAGATATGTATTGACTATTTACCTACTGTGTAAGAGAAAACAGCACATTATTATAGTGTTTGATGGTGCTACTTTCCTAAGAAATTTTTTTTAAAAAATGGTTTACTTTTATGCAACATCTTATAAAATGAATACATCAGCAACTGATGCAGAACATGTTCCATGCCCCATAAACGGCGCTGAGCATTGTACCATTAGGAGGAGATGAGTTAGGTTGTGAACGCTCGTCCACCCCCTGACCATGGTTAAGCCTACGGGGCAATGAGTTCAGGCAATGAGAGGAGATTTCTGTTTGGAATGTACAGACAATTAGTCAATAAACGAAAATAACAGCTTGGCTAACTGATATCACTCTTCTAGATACATCCCCAGCCTACAGCATCACCTTCACACATTAATACATTTGATCCAGCTGAGATTACAGAAATATACATGAAGATGCTCATATGTGTCAAAAGCCAGGGACAAAGTATAAATGCCCTTCAACTGGGTAGGATGAGTGTCCATCGCTGGAAGTACAACTGCTTCTTGTCTCAGAGTTCTGTATTGAGAACTCTGTGTTTCCCATTCAGAAATTTTCCAGTGTTTTCTCTCCATCTTGAGTGCCCAAAAAATGATTTATTTACTAACCTCAGAGTTGTTATATGATAGTTTCTGTCATTAAATTTTAGGTTCCATTGAGCTCATAAGACAACCAATTTTAATCTGGGAAGGGATATTTAGCACATGAATTGCTAGGTAAAAAAGCCAAGGTCCAGACGGGAAATGTACCCCCCCCACCACCACCACCACCAGTTGCACAGCTGGTGATAAACCACCGAGGTCAATTTCAGTGCATTTCATCCCCAAATTTTCTGGTCTTTATTCTAAATTATTGGGCCTCATTCAGACACGCTAATTCTGTTGGCTGTAGATTCCTTTTATGCTTTTGACGAGTAGGGGGCCGCCCTCTGAGTTTTCTCTTTGATTGTCTGCATCTTGTCATCGGCACTGTCCTTGCAGCCAGGGTCTCCTTGCTGGGTCTCTGCCTTCAAACCCCACTGTCCATTATCCCTGCTCTTGTAAAACCACCTTGTTTCCTCCCTGGCAGCAAAATCACCACTTTGTTGCCTGGCAGGGTGTGCTGCTCACGTGCACAGACCCCTGTGGCTTTGGCCAGCAACCCTGCAGCACCAGGGCGAGGCAGCCACCTCCCCAGTGCTGGTGGAACCACAGGACCAGAATGACCCAGCAAGGTGGTGACATTTAGACCGCAGGAAATAGCAACCCAATAGCCCTCTTCTCTCTACATTCCCCTCCTTGAATTTTGCTGTTCGATTTCTTACTGAGCATCTAAATAGAAACAGTCATCACAGAGCGTGCAAGCCCAGTGTGCTTTTAGGGGACGTGGGAAAATCTGTTTCTTCACCAAAAGCAAAAAGGAATCTGTGTGGTCAAGTCTAGTCGTGTATGAACTTGGGGAATTTCGAGCAAAGAATCTCTCTCTTTGTTATCCATCGGTCCGGCATTGTGCTCGGCATTCTGGCCAGAATGTAACAAATCATCGGCCTTGGAGGTGGAAGATCATTTAGAATAGTCAGCCTGCTGATCGAGGACAGGAAATGAGTGGTACTCTCTGTCATAGATATGTGACAGCTAAGGACCACAGCACCCAAGCCACCAGACACGGTGTGGGTAGGACCAGAGCAGGGGTACTTTGGTCTCCATTTATGCTGCCTCTCCTAGAGAATAAGCATAGCACCACCTTGCAAGAGCTTGAACCAGGTTTCTCAGACTCTAATGTAACTTTTTATTCAGTACATATTTTATTAACATATTCTTCACCTGGCGCAGCAAGATGCGTCCCTGTTTCATTCTCCAAAGGAAGGATCCTCCTCCCAGATGTATGGGACGTTCACATACTGTACTCCAAGAAAATGTCCAAGGTCATGATGGAGTCGAAAGAGGGCCTTTAGAGCAGATTTTCTTTCTTAATTTGTCTTGACTGTTGATAGCACCCATTGCCAGTCTGGAAGCTGCGGGTATTGTTTTTCTCTTTTTCAGGGCAAAAGGGGACAGGCCTTAAAAACTTTATTGACATGAGAAAGTGATTGTAAAATGTAATCTGCCATAAAATTGCAAGCATTACTTTATCTCTCCCTCTTTTTTAGAGATGGAGGGGGGTGACAAAAATTGGCGGTGTCACAAATGACTTACTTAAAAGGAGGTTGCCAAATACTCCTTGTCCAGAGTTAACTAACATCATTCAAGACCAAACGCCATGAAAAATTTAAGCACAATGGTATCAGCCTGGAATGAAAGGTTCAGTAGGATTCCCCCTGTCCCCACTGATTTCCCCAAACAATCTCTGTGGAGGTTTGCTTAAGAGTTAGGAGGGCAGGAGAGTCAGAAAGCCCTAGACTGAGAGTCCATACGTACTACTGAGTGGCTACACCACTTAGGCATGTCATAGATTTCATAGACTCTCCCCATTATACCTCTAGGTATAATATTTTTAATCTATCTTTACTGTTCAAAGTATTCAGATACCTTCCCCTTTTTCCCCCAATGAACCCCTCTACCCAGTTCCGGTGCCACCCCCACCCCCGGGCCTTCACTGCACTGTGGTCTGTGTCCGTGGGTTATGTATATTAGCTCTTTGGTGAATCTCTTCCCGCCCACCCCCTTCCCTCTGAGATTCATCAGTCTTTTCCAAGCTTCTGTGTCTCTGGATCTATTTTGCTCAATTTTACTATCTTTTAAGTTAGGAACAATTATTACTTTCTTTTCTTTAAGAATTTAAGAAAGACTATGTTATACACACGCGCACACACACACAGTACACTTCTTTGACTGCTTAGCTGCTACAGCTCTTTTAGCTATTGTAACATACTCCTTTGTAAAGAATATTTCTGTTTTGCCTTATCTCCTTTCCTGACATGAATGGTACAGGGCATGTTACTGTTCTGTGTGACTGCCCCACAATGCCTAGCCAGTGTGCTTAACAAACATACGCTGAGTTAGCACATGAATGAAAAGCTAAACATGTTTCAAAATGTCTTTCAGTAGTGGAGCAAAAAGAAGGGAACAAAAAGTCTTATGATTATGTTACATCACATTTTAGTATGTTATTCTACATGATGTTATAGTGCACAGAACTTTGCAATGTTGTTTTACATTATGTTGTAGTGCACAGTACTTTGCAATGTTATTTTACATTATGTTATAGTGCACAGAACTTTGCAATGTTACTTTACATTATGTTGTTGTGCACAGAACTTTGCATGCATTATGTTGCTTATTCCTAGAAGGGATCAGTTATGTGATAATATTATTTCCATTTTAAAAATGAACGAATGAAGGCTTCCGCAGGAAGCTCACACAAGGAATAATTGGCAGCACCTGAATTCAATCCCTGGCAGAGTCCAAAGATCCACTCAACCGCGATTGTTTCTTCCCATCAGCTGTATGATTTAGGGCACAGTTTTTCAAACACAGATGTTTTGAGTAGGATCAAACGTTGTTGTGGGAACTGTCCTGTACATCACGGGCTGTTGAGCAGCACCCCTGTCCTCTCCCACCAGATGACTGTAGCACCCCGCCCTCTCTTCCTGGACTTATGACAACCACTAATATCTCCAGACCTTGCCAATATCCTCTGCGGGGGGATTCAGACTCACTGGCTTAGAGTTACCACTTTCCCACAACCCAACAGTAATTGCGGGGGGTTTCTAGCAGGAAGCAAATAAAATATGCTCAAGGAAATGCAGGACTCCTGGTTAAGGCACACACTGGATAATCAGCTCCCAGATAATTGGGAATTTGAGGTATAGGAGACTGGACGCCAATTTAAAAGAATCACATTACGTTTCTGAAATGAAAGGAAAGCCAATTTTCCAAGCCATTCAAGCTACAGGTTTGCATCAGACCCCGCCTGCCTGCTCATTGTAAGCTCGGCAGCTTCAGTTGATGATAAAATAGGCTTTTGTCAGAGTCCAGATGAGGGCTCAGCTTGGGGCTGTCACTGTTTTGAGTGGAACACCTGTGGTTTTGAATTTCTGCAGGGCTCCCCTGCTGCTGAGTGCCATCCTGCTTTGGGTATTTTTAGAGCATGGTTTTGTTTTAAGTAACAGCATATTGCAAAGGTACTTTGAACCAAACTGGACTTTATGGCAATCAATTACTTGATGTAGGGATAAGGCATTAGGGAAGTACTTAGAGCAATTTTGCTACATTCAGTGGGTCTAATATATTACAGAAGAGGGGGCAATGGGTTACCTTTCAAGAGAGATTCTAACCAAGGCTGCATTACTCAATGGACTAACACTGCATCTGCACCTACAGCCAGCAAACAGGAGCTTAAAAAAATAAGACAAAATAGCCTGGCCAGTGTGGCTCAGTGGTTAAGCACCGAACCATGCACCAGCAGGTCGCCAGTTCGATTCCCAGTCAGAACACATGCCCAGGTTGTGGGCCCGATCCCTAGTGGGGGGCACTCAGGAGGCAGTCAGTTGATGTTCTCTCTCATTGATGTTTCTCTCTCCCTCTCCCTTCCTGTCTCTCTAAAATCAATAAAGAAAAAAAAAATTTTTTAAGAGGAGAAAATATTTTTGAAAACATTTAGTACTTGATATATTTTTTTAAGTATCCGATTTTTAAAACTATCATATCACTATGGAGAAGATAAGAACTCTGTCAGGTTTTCTGTGTTTATGTTACAGCGTGCAGAATTGGGAACAGAGCTGAACCCAGATTTCTGCAGAGAAGCAGCTTATTGGCAGCAAGCTAGTGGGTCGGTGGTGCTGGGGGCATGTCTAGAAACCATACTGGAATTTCGAAGATTTTATAGAAGATATGGGAAAAGAACTAACCATCTATACACCTCACCTAACCCACCCCACCCTCTCTGTAACTCAAACAATGGCACAGCCATGAGAAGGGACAGCGTAATCTTTCTGGTGCTCAGAGTCTCTGATGGTCTTATTTCAACCCTTAATTCTACTGGATACCAATAGTACTCAAGGAAATCTTGGCAGTATTTGGAACAGAGGAGGTAAAGTCTGTGTTTCATAGGGCATCATGGTAACGGTCCAGCAGACATTCCATGAAAAGAATTGCAGACGGGATCTATATCTTACTTCCCTCTCTAAGTCCAAGTGTCCAGCAACTGACTTAGTGCTTCTAGAGCAGGACCAGGCTCGTGTTTCTGTTCTCCGATTAGGCATCACTTCCTTCGGAACGCTGACCCTTCGGTCTGCATCAGGCACGCCTGCAGGACTCTCCTCCAGCTTGCCACATTGTACACAGCCTCTGTCACAACATCATGCCTCATGGATTTGTCTCTCTCCCTGCCTGAGAGGAAGCTCCGTGAGGGAAGAGGCCCTACCGACGTCACTCATTAATGCAACCTCAGCATTTTACAAAGGGTCTGGCACATAAAAGTACTTAAAAAAATTCATCGACTACATAGGTACTCAATAAATGGGTGCGAGGTGAAAAGAAAAATGCATCAATTAAGAATCAATGTAATCAGTATAAATATAGCTATTGTTCCGACAAATGACATCTTGGTCAATTTTGTTTGTAGATTATTTACCAAGAACATCACCCTTCCTCTGAAAAATAAAAGCCACGTTGGATGTGTGATGGGTGGGTGGGAGGGGATTCTCCTAGGTAATGTGGACTTAGACTCTTAAAGTAACAAGGAAGTCAGCAAAACATTAAAAAAGAGGTCAAGAGCCAAACTTGCTTTTACACGCTGAAGAGTGTACCTCAAACACAAGTTCTGAAATGTGAAGGAGGAAATACCTCTCTAATGCCGGATAACATACCAGATAAAAACAATAAGGAAAAATGTCATAAAAGTTGAAAAGAAATTGTGGATCAGTCCTTCTCAAAACCTAAAAAAACAGTAAAGCCTCCAGTTCCAAATGCCTTAAAAACAAAAAAGTCTATAGAGTGCATCTGAGGATTTAGTTTTAGGTGTTTCTTCCGGTTTGAGTAGTAGATTTAAAATGCTTGCATTTCTTTGTCATTATTATATTTTAAGGTCAAAATCAGTGGAAAACTTTTCTCTACATTCATTATAAGTAGCTGTTCGGGAAGAGCAGTGAATCGGTTAAAATGTACAACTTAGAATCACGTGAAATACCCAAGCGCTTATTTCATTTCAACTCCACCATTGGCTTGCTTCTCTGATGTCCAAGTTACTTGAAATAGTGTTATTTTGATTACAACTGAATAGGCATTTTTAAATGTCATGATATTTTAAAGGAAAAACTGACCTAGCAATCATAATATACCATTGTGTTGTATAATTTTTGTTCTGCTACATCCTATAAGGCAAACTGCCAAGCTTGAACATAAATAAATAAAATGCAAATCCTCTATGTAATCATCACATTTACTTTTGACATCTACAAGGTTTGTATTGTTAGGCTTAGTTATTTTTGTTTTTATTTTTATGCTTTGACCTAGCCTTTCAGAAATGCTTTTCATTCCCCTAAAATATTTTAAGTAGAGCCAGGTTTAGAATTTTTTTTTTTTCCAAAAAAAGAAAAGCCAACTTGGAAAAGAAGTACTTTGAGATTATTTAAATGCAATATTTTATCCAGCTTCCCAAAGGACCTGCTCATCATATGTTATCATTTTAGAACTGCAGAATATAGTTTATATGAAGACCCGCGATCTTAAATTTCATGTTGTTAATAAGCTATACCTTTAAAATAAGAGGCAAAAGGAATAATAACCATGCTTTCTCCAGGGTCTAAAATCATATTCCTTTCAGTAACGCATATTTCAAAAGAGTTGATGTAAAGAAGTTGGTCTTTTTTTGTTCTATATCATATCAATGAGCATATTCGAAGTCATTGAAGTTCATTTTTTACCTTTTCTCTTTTAACGTCTACTATTTCTCAAGTAATAAACTGTTAAACTGAATTCTGATAAACATTAATTCTTCTTCCTTTATAGATATGTGTTAATACACGACCTTTGGACAATATGTTGGTTATATACCTATATAAATACAGGTAGCTTATAACATAATTGCTTATTTTCACAAACATAAAATAATTCTCAAAAATATTTGGAATTTAACTTTTCTGGGAAAAAAGTGATTTTTCAAATGTTTTGGACTGAATCTTCAGACTAACATTTTTGTTACAAAATTTATATTATTGTCACCTTTCAAAACATATCTATATATTTTTTAAAAAATCACTAAGTCAAAGGGAGACTTTTGGGAATGACCTCACGTACATTCTGAGAATATTTTCTGTTTCAGTGTTTGAGGGACTGTGGGGAGGGGAGGCCTCTGTAAAGTGGAAGGCAGGAGGTCTAAAACCAATTCCTAGTTTTTCTACCAACTAGTAACTAATAATTTTTCTTTCTGATGCTCTGTTTTCAATTTGTAAACAAAAGTCATTGAACTGCATCACAGGTATTTTTTTTAAGTGAGGGATAGATAATTCAAGAAAAAAAGTCCTTAAATTATATATTTTCATTTATCATTAGAATAGCCTTATTTTATTCTTTGGAGAAAATGTAAGTTGTCAACTAATTTTCTTAGTTTATCAGAGAGAAAAGTTTCAGTAAAAAATTATCATTCTTTAGCCAAAAAAATGCCTGAGTATTTGAGAAGTAAAATACAAATAACTTTTAATTTTCTATCATAAAAGTTAGCTAAGAATGAGCTGAACATGTGATTCCACGATTTGGAAATGTTCATGAGAATTGATCAATTATGAGGAAATTTTCAGTTTCAAGTATCTGCATTACTAAATTTTATAGAACAAACTTTGCCTCTTTTCAAGAGCCATTGTTTGGAGTTTAAATTCATATAAAAATGTATACTTGTCGATCAGTTCTATGATCCATTAAAAAAGTGTGTACAACTTAATTGTTGGGAGAATTTGCTCATCTATAAAATTGCAATTTGAGGACACATTTATGATCCTTGAATTATTAATGTTGTCATTTGTTTCTTATTCAAAACCCCTTTGGGGACCAGAGCTCAGCCACAGCAAATCTAAACTTAATTGTATAGGTATTTCTCACTGATTATAAGTCTTTGAATAAAAATACATTTATATTAATGTCTTAATATATGAATATGAATATGAGAATGTTTTTATATGAATCAAAAACTTGGCTGATGACTCAGCATTCATAGACCCTAATACTGACATCTGGCCCTCATGCAAATTTCTAATAAAAGTCCTCTCTCCTTGGAAGTCCTGTCTGTTTCCTTCAGGCTCTGAAGCCTCAAAGGCTCATTAAGAACATTTTGTTGTCATTTTTTTTTTTTAACTTTATTCTCCCTAGTTGGTTTAAGTGAACCAATTAAAAGCAAGCATCTAAAGGCTAAGAAGAACTTTCCTGTCTCTGAGCGCTTGGGATCTATCCGTGCTATGAGGCTGATGAAAGAGGAATGCCAACTGTCCGGACAGAGAGACGAAGGTTTGTCACCTGTCTTTTCTCTGTGAAGCTGGGTAAGAAGTTGGCCTTGGAGCCAGGCTTATGGAACGTGTGCTCAACTAGTATTGCTTTTGGACTATTTAGTTGTTTGTGATCTCGGTTTGGATTACATATAGATACATGGCTAAGATTAGTAAAGTAAACTATTACCAAGACAATCCCAGCTTCCAGGGGTTCCGTCGCTTTTGATATGGTCACGGGGGGCGAGGCTGCGCTCGGAGCGCTCCTGTTGGCCTTCTGTGTCTGCAGGTTGGTGAAGTAGTTGACAGCTGCGAACTCGATCAGAGCGGAGAAGACGAAAGCAAAGCACACGGCGATGAACCAGTCCATGGCGGTGGCGTAGGACACCTTGGGGAAGGAGTGCCGGGCGCTGATGCTCAGCGTGGTCATGGTCAGAACAGTGGTGATCCCTGAAATGAGAGCAATTAGAAGTGCAGGGTTAACAGAACTTACACGCATGTGTGCATGAACAGTGGACATGGACAACAATCTGGGGACAGGGCAGGGAGGGAGGGGGAGGGGGGAATCAGTGGGGGAAAAAGGAGAAACATCTGTAACAAAAATTAATCAATAAAAAAAAAAAAAGTTCAGGGTTAGCCTCTGGAATCCAATAGAAACTGAAATGAGAGCATGCTGGTGGTGAAGATTAAACCCTCTCCACATGTAATTTGTGTTTTGATTTTATTGCTTTATAATTATTCACAGTTATCATCGTAGGTATTATTATTTTGTATCCTTCAATACCTCCTGCAGTGATCTGTACATTGTAGTAACTCAAAACATATCTTTTGAATTGAATTAGCTACACTGTTTTAAAATTTATGTCATGAAAAATTTTAATTGTTTACTTCTTTAGTAAACTTAAAGCAAATTATCACTAAAGTAATAAAACCTTGAACTTCTGATCATTATATATTTCATCATATTTAAGAAGTCTATCTGGTGTGACTAATAATCATAAAGTTAGGTCCCTCAAAAATATATTTTTTTTAATTTTTAGCTTGATTTTAAGTAAACTATTTACCCATGACAAAATAATTTCATCATTCATGTACTAGCAGTGTTCTGTCTTGAATTATGACTTGGGAATTTATATGATTTGAATATGGTCAATGTCATTATATAGATATTCTTTTATAATTTGCAGAATGAGATCTATTTTAATATGGTAAATAAGTCAAAATTTATTTGAGATTTCAGTTCAACTTAGGTCTTCCATGGAATTCCTGCTAAATTCATAATAATGAAAACTCAGAAAAATGCATTTTGTTCGTGGTAATATTTCTTTACATCTCTTTTTCTTATTTTGTTTCATCAAAACTAGTACTGATTCTATACATCATAAATGGAACTAAATTTTAGGTTGAAACATGGGAGATTAGTAGTATTTAACTATTTTTAGACCATAAAAATAGCAATTTTTTATGGTTCAACCAAGTAAAAGTGAGATATAATTTGTATGTCAGTGCATTCAATAATTTAGTCTTTGTTTTTATGGATTTATATGTCAGTTTTGACTTTTATGCTTTCCCTTGATTATGGAAAATCAAATCAAAATTAGAAAGAAAGAAAAAAAACCTACTAAATAGGACATATGAAAGTCACAGGAAACCAACCAGAATTCTCACTGAGACAAATGGTTTGTTGATTCACCATACAACTTGCAATAAGATAAGGGTCATTTTACATGATACATGCGTCTGACTGAGATACGAGTCTATTTGCTTTGTGGGCTGAAAAAGTGCGCTGGTGTGAATATTTCCCTAAAATACCCTAGGCATGGGAGCTGGAGGATGAACGAAAACAAAACCCAAAGAGGGAAGCATACCAAAGACAGTTCTGGCAGGGACAGACTCCTTATTAATCCAGAAAGACACCTGGGAAAGAATGACGGTCATAATGCAAGGTGTATATATCTGTATCATGAAGTAGCCCATCTTCCTTTGCAAATGGAAATAAACTGTCATTATTGCGTATTCACCTGTTGGAAGACACATACCATTGCTGTTGACAGTGTGTAAAAAAAATACAACTGGGAATAAATCTCTCAGGTCTTTAAATTAACATGGGCTGGAAGAAAACAAGCAAAGATGTATTTTAACGTGTGGCAAAAACATTATCCGCAGATGATAGATGCATCACCTCATTGTTTTGGGTGGGGTTCTTTGTGTCATATTCATGCAGAGCTACTCCAAGGATACACCTGTTTTTATGTGCATATGACTGCAAAGTCAATTTAAAGAAAGCTACTCGTCACTTCAAAACATCAAGCTTATCTGAGGATAGCATGCAGAAGAAAAAGAAACAGGTATTTTGAAGATTCCTGCTGGGGTCACCTTGCAGGATTACATCCATGCCTTGGTCAGATTCTCACCTGTGTTAGATTTAATCGTCTCACTAGATACTGTCTGTCCAATCAGATCATACTGGAGGAGGCTTGAGGATTCTTCTGGGACTTCAACTGAATAAAGTGGTCCTTTTTTCCATGTGTATATGATTTCACTTTTGGGGTAGGCATCTGAATTTTTTAAACAAATTAAACATAATAGTGAATCTGATTTGTAGTGTGTTGTGTTTTTTTTTCAATGCAAGTTTTGTCTATATAAAAAGGAAATACAAACATAAGTGACCTTCAGTGCTTTTCTTTAATTTGGGTGACCAAAACCTCTGACTATGACAGATATGATGAAGTAAGTATATTCCTGGAATCCCACTTTGAATGGCATAGTAATAATATTTCCCTTTTGGTTTCCAATTGCTGACTAAAACCAAATAAATGCATATTCTGAATGCATTATTTAACTGTCAGAAGCTTATTGTAACTCACAACTCCCAAACTTGAGTGGGCAAGCATGTCCATCCATAGGAAAGTTAACCAGCCTCATGGGACAGTCAGCATTGATGGTAAGCCTGGGGACATTGAAGTGAATGGTTCAGAGTTAGAAGGATGAAGGAACCCACTGGGCAGAGGAAGCAGAGGTGGGGAAACCTTACCTCATGGTGTATAGAATGGTTCCATTCTGCATTATTCTGAAGAGTTTATTCGGAGTGGTCATATTGTGGGCGATGGATTTTTTGCCATTTCTGAAGAAAGTGTCAGGTGTCCAGATTTTACTGACCATCAAGTTATTCAAACTCAATATCTCAGTGGGCCCCCCAAACTTCAACCTCTCATCAGTCCACGTCTGGCGGAAGAAAACATCCATGGTGTACTCCTAAGAGAAAAATAAGAACTTCATTGCAGCCTGGGGAGATGGTTTATTAAAAATAGTTTCTTCACCAGCTTATCTACCCAATCCTAAAATTTAAGAAATAAAGCAACTTTTTTGAAAGGCAACAACCTATCAGGAAAGTGATAATTTCAGTGAGTTGTTATTTTTCTCAAACTCAAACTTTGTATTCATATAAAAGATAGTGCTGTGTTGTGCAAAGTTTCCCTCTTAACCTTGACCGTCTTCAACATGCTTCTTTTTCTGTCACCCTTTCTCCATCTATTAACTTATCAATTCCTCCATTCTTAATTTAGAAGAAAAATATTAAAATGTTTACACTCTAGTTTTTGTGCCTGTCCACCTTACCATCAGTTAGTTTACAAATATGTTAACCTTCAAAGATGTCTCCAAGCATCATGACACCATTTAGTCAACTACCAAGAATAAACTTGTTGAGCATACTTAGGCTGCACACCATGATTATTTTATATTGTTCTCAGAGTTCTCTGAGCAACTAAAAGCAAATGTTACCAGGAACACTCAAAAAGAGCATCATTCAAGGATGCATAATAATTACTGAGTTTCAATTTGTGGCTTTTTTTGAAATAACACTGAAATATTAAGAATTGTGATAAGGGTCATTGAAAAAGTCAATGATAAATAACAATGTAACTGTATCAAAATGTTGCCAATAATTGCTTTGCCTATTTTATATGTTCTTTTATGAGACCTGTTACTACAAATGGTGATTATATTTTTAAAATATAATTGGACACAATATATTCATAGTGATGATCCAGGCTATAACAAGGCTCTATTGTAAAAATAAAAAAGAGACCAATGTATAGAATCAAGTTTCAAGTGTCCCCAGATTTAAAATAATACCATAGAATATGGTTGTGGTTATTTATATGTGGGTGAGTCAGTACTCAAATAAAAATATGATAGTAAAATAATTGAAGACTCTGGTTAATGAAGACTCTCCTTTCTCTCTAGTCTTAAGACATTTATCTCTTAAATGAAGTCCTCCTCCCTCTCTCCTCCTCTTCCTTATTTTCTTTCTTGTTACTTTTTCCTCTTTCTCTTCCTCTTTCATTTCTTTATTTGTTCCTTTCTTTTCTTCTTCTTCTTTTCTTTTCTTTTCAACTCAAAAAGCAGACCATGTAAAGGTCTCACATAACTGTTTATCCAAAATTACATTTCCCTAACCAAATGTAATGAGGCACTTCTTTGGAAGGTTATGTTTATTTCAGTTTTAGTACGTATACTTTACGTGCAGGAGGCAATGCTACCTAAGGACTGTGACAGCACATTTTAACCTACTTGGTTCCAGAAGACTAGCTCAGGTTTTCATCGCCACTTGCTATAAATATCCCTTCACGAATGCTACACCCATCTGTACCTGGAGCAGAGTCCCGGAACACCTGCTGTTCTAGTCCCAGCATAAAAGGTGGAAAGCATTAGCCTTTTCAAAACACTCCCTGTACTCTTTTAATTAAATATACTAAAAATTATGTACTACCAAAAAAAAACCTGTATGTGTTAAGTTTCATAGATATTCTCAATATACAGGTACATGGTGAGGTTGTTGGTATTTCATTTTGCTACTCCAAACACTCGCTAGGACTTCATAAAGATGTGGAAGTTTCCCTTGTCGGAAAGAATCAGTGCCTGAGAGGTGGACAGAAGAGAGGATATCGTCCCATACAGCCCCTCTGATTGAAATGTTCCGAGAGCGCCCTCCGTGAGGGAGATTAGGAATCCGCTCTGATGGCCATGCCCTCCCAGCACGGGTCTGCATGTTGCATCACGGTGCTTGGCAACGAAGCCCATTACCGCTCATTCTGGGTCACGGCCCCTCTCCCGTGGGGTAACGTTATCCCCTCACTCAGAGCGCACTCACCATCTCCACATCTGACACGGGTCCAAAACTGGTCACGTAAATGTCTGTTTTGACTTCAGTGACAGCACCTGAAATTAGCCCAGAGGAATGGGGGCAATTATCAGCAGTGATGTGAAGGGCACTGAACCTCATGGCTCCACAGCGGAGCCCTCCGCACAGCCAGAGTCCGCAGCCCATCCTAATGCAATCCCACTTACGGGGCCTTGAGCTTTCCAACTCTAAACGAGAAGAGAACTGCGTGAGAAGGCTACTGAACACAGTCATCGTCACTGGTGGGTGGCTTTCGGGAGAGAAGTGCTAAGGAAGCGTGTTTTACGTGGAGAATCTCATTCAACACTACAAGCCTAGGAGGCACTGTTCATGCATCCACACTGTAGTTGAGGAAACTGAGCTCAAAGAGTTCAAATAACGGGCATAAGAGATCTCTGGTTGAGGAGGGGCAAAGAGTGGGTGGGAATCACACACGGCCCCTCCCCAGGACCCCTGCCCTTGCCCACTCACTACCCTCGGAGGCCTCTGGGCCTTGGAATGGCAGGAAGGGGGAGGAGAGCACAGATGTTCGGTCTCCTAATGGCTGTGGCCCCTCACCTCCAAATCCTGGCCGCAGCCGATTGTCGTAGCCTTCAAGCAAGTTGTCCAGGATCCGGCTGATGTTCTTTGAGTAGATGGTTCCTTCATCTTCAAGTTTCCCGAGGGCATTTTCTACCCTGCAAGCAGACAGTCAATGACCCTCTCTCCCAGCCCCAGAGAATACGTGCTATTCAATCATCCTGTCTTCCCCACCACAACTTACACGCCACACCACCCAGGCTTCTTTCTTGGTTGACTACAGAAGTCACCCAGTGGGAGTGTGTTTTCCCTTTCCTCTAAGCTAAAGGGGAAAAATCAGGGGGAAAAAGTCTTACTCACCATAAAATAATGAACAGCCAGGGCAGAGGTGACGCCATCCTGCAGTGCACAGAAATGCAGCTCACTTCGCCTTCCTCCTGGTTTGTCCTTCCCACTAACCAGCTCCCCTCTGCCAATCAACTGGAACAACCTTCTGGACCCCCCATATTTCTTATCCTTGCTTGCATCCAGCCAGGAATCCAGTAGATGATGAGGTCGCCAGGATAATGTTGAGGGTCCCCCTTGCCGTCTCTTCGCGTGGAACAGAGGGTTCGGATTCTTAGACTGTGCCCTGGTGGACACTCAGCCTCCTCTGACTGACTCATTCGGGAAATGAGCGTTGGAAGGGACAGTGCATGGCTGGAGAGCGGTGACAATAATCGAATAAGGCACTAGGGGAGATTAGGAGGGAGAAATGCTCCGCTAGTTTTGGCATGGGAGTAGCAGAGCCCTGGAGAAAATCTGGAAAGCAATGGCATCTTGCTGATTGGGATTATGTTCCAATGGGCTGAGCGTTTATTATTTCTATGGTTCACAGAAGGTTTCCTACCCAGCTCTCGCTGCTTAAAAAAGTCTAATGATCCTGGGATCCTCTTGGGTCCTCTTTCTGATTTCCTCAGCTCGCTTGCCTCAGGCACACCTTTTCTGTGTGTTTAAAAATTGCCCCTAATTGTTCATTGGAAAAGGAAAACTTATAACACAGCAGAAGAATGCCTGGTCATCTTGCTGTTGGGTTAGCGTTTAAGTACTTTGCTGATCTTTCCTGTCAAAGGTGTGTCATCTCAGGTTGGGATATATAAGTGGGTCCTCCCACTAAACTTAGAAACCCGGCCAGTTTCATGCATGCTGCCTGAAGGGGACAATGTCTGGAAGCAGCTGATTAACGTCCCCCAGGTAGAAATGCTAAGGAACAGGGTATCATAGTCCTGGTTGATAATGATGTTGCTGGCACTGTTTGACTAGGCTTGCCACAGGTCAAAGGTGAAGTGTTTGAGCTCAAGAGGTAGCATTTTCTACCCAGTCTGGCAGGGACATGCTAGAGTAAAAGAAGTCTCTTTAAGCCTTGACTTTCAGTGGGGGAAAGAACGGGGAATATCTGTAGTACTTGTAAAAATAAAGCTGAATTCTAAACAATTTAATCTTTAAAAAGGAAACCAAGTATTATTATGCTAATATGTATGTGGTTGTCCAGAAACATAAGAACGAGGCAGATGCCTCACTTCACCGTCCTCCGGCTAGACCCCATCCGCGCTCCACCCGGTTCACCGAGACTGGACCTCCAGCCCCGAGTCTGCAAAGGCGGTGGCGGCTGTGGCACACATGGAGCGCCGTCTCGAGTCATTTCTGAAGACATGACGTAAGTCATTTGAGGAGCATTTAAAGAGATCATCTATAACTGAGAAGAAACTATAGAAACAGGAAACACGAAATATTTCCTATAAAATAGTTTATTTTTTAATTAACTTTATTGGGGTGACATTGGTTCATAGGATTATATAGATAGCAAGTATATATTTCTATGATATATGATCTGTATATCGCATTGTGCACCCACCACCCAAGGTCAGATCATCTTCTGTCACCATATATTTTGTCACTCTTACCCTTTACCACCCCAACCCCCTTCTTTCAGATGACCACCACACTGTTGTCTGTGCCCATGAGTTTCTGTTTTATATCCCACAGATGAGTGAAATCGTATGGTTCTTAGCTTTTCCTGACTGACGTATTTTGTATTTTGCTTGGCGTGATATTCTCAAGGTCCATCCATGTTGTTTAAATGGCAGTATTTCATCTCTTACGGCTGAGTCATATTCCATTGTATATAATCATCACATCTTCTCCATCCCATCATTTGTCAAAGGACACTTAGGTTGTGTTCATGTTTTGGCCACTGTGAATAGCGCTGCAGTGAACATAGGGGTGTGTATATCTTTGCAAATACACATTTTCAAATATTTCAGGTAGATACCCAGACAAAGGATTGCTGGGTCATATGGTAACTCTATTCTTAGTTTATTGAGAAATCGCCAGACTGTTTTCCATAGTGGCTGAACCAGTCTACATTCCCACCAGCAGTGAATGAAGGTTCTCTTTACTCCACAACCTCTCCAACGCTAGTCATAACTTGTTTTGTTGATAATGACTGTTCTAACTGGTGTGAGGTGATATCTCATTGTGATTTTGATTTGCATTTCTTTAATAGCTGGTGAGGTTGAACATCTTTTCATATATCTGTTGGCCATTTGTTTATCTTCCTGGGAGAGGTGTCTGTTCAGGTCCTCTGCCCATGTTTCATTGGATTGTTTGTTTGGTGCTGAGTTCTATGAGTTGTACTGTTTGTTTGGTGCTGAGTTGTATTTCGGATATTAACCTGTTTTCAGAGCTGTTTTTTGCTGGTATTTTCTCCCACTAGGTTGGTTGCCTTTTTTTTTGTTGGTGGTTTCTTTTGCTGTGCGGAAGCTTTTTAGTTTGTATAGTCTCATTTATTTATTTTTGCCTTTATTTTCCTTGCCTTTGTGGTCAAATTCATAAAATGTCCTCTATGAACAAGGTCCATAAGTTTAGCACCTATGTTTTCTTCTATGTAACATATTGTTTTAGATCTTTGATCCATTTTGAGTTAATATCTGTACATGGGGACAAACCGTAGTCTAGTTTTATTCTTTTGCATGTGGCTTTCGAATTTTCCAAGCACCACCATAATCATTATTGTCATCATCATTTTTAGCCAAATCAAATCTTTTCTCTCCAGCATTTAGAAATGAAGTAAAAAAAAAAAAAAAAATGAGAATTTGATCTGTGTCATTCACTAAGGCTGCCAGTGTGGGGGAGGGCCCGTTTGGCCAAGTTCATGCAACATGATGAATAGCCATGGAGAGAGAGAAAAACATCAATGCAGCAGCTGTGCAGAAGGAAGTAGCAACATGTCACTGAAGCAACACAACACTGAGCTAACAGCTGCCTGTATTTCTGACAGCCTCCCTGATCCCCCCCCCCCCATAATCTATGTCTCATGTCTGCCCTTCAGTTCCTCCAGAAGCACTGTGTCCTTCATATGAATTCCTCTTCTTTTTGGCTCCAGATAAGTGAGTTAGTGTCACTGGCTACTAAAAGGAACCGTGTGATTCAGGCCACTGTCTCTCGAACTTAAAAACAAAATTTCAGGTTATGAAGATTCAGTGTGAAACTTGGACGAACTGCATGAGCTACTGGAGAGTACACCTCAGCAGGGTGGAGTCCTGAGTGGGTTTCCTGGGCTTTCTGAGTAGGGCTCCTTGAGCTGGAATCTCTCACCTCCACAGAGTGGGAAGCATTTCCGTAGCCTGCATGAACCCTCTCAGGCCACTAGGGGACTACTGAACATCGTCTTCTGGCTGTGCTACCCACACCCTGGCATCTGTTTGCCTATTTATCAGGTGCTTGGAGTCCCAGAGAGGACAGGATTTTGGGTTCAAGCCCAGTGAGGAGCTCTGGGGAAATGCTGTAGAAAAGCAAGCAGAATGGAAGTCTATTAGTATGGATTCTGTTGGACGTGGATAAGATGTAAATTCCAAACCTGCTGCCGTGTAAGGGATATTCTCAGAGCAAGTAATAAGAACAAACATTTGAAATTGCCACAAAGAAAAGTCGGAGGCCTTCATGAGAACAATGGTATCCTTTGTGCTATCGTATTACATGACTTAACGTTTCCTCTTAGGGTAAAACATAAGAGGGTCACTATTTGTATAAAAGTGATTTAACCTGAAGGGGTGGGGGTGAATAAGTGATATTGGTGGGATCTTAAGAGAATAGGCTGATAGGTGTTTGATGCATAATTTGGAGCTGATGATTCATTAGTAACTAATGATGTTGCACAATAACAAACAACCCCCCAAATGAAACGGGTAAATGTTCTCGACCCAAACCTGACCATCACAGAAACAGTGAGTTACTTTGAAATAGACTTGTTCCAGGCTTCGGAGGCAGCGTGTCGGAGTGGAGCGTCTGAGATGTCAGAACGAGAAGAGCTGTGTCGCTCTGCGCACTGGCTGCGAACTCACTGCCCGTGTGGTTATTGTGGTGCCGTCAGTAAGGGCTGTCAGCTGTAAACCCAGCAAACCCACTAGCAGCGGCATACACAAGACGGCTTATTTTTCTCACAATACAGAAAAGGATGGAGGCAGGCAGACCCTGGCTCCTGCAGCTACGCGGGGACGGAGCTGACATGCTGAATGTCCCGTCACCTCACTGTGGTCCCCGTGAGGCCGCCTCCCCTTCAGCCATCCTGTCTGCGATCCGCAGAGAGAGGGAAGGAACGGAGCCACCTGCCAGCTCCAGCCACGGAGGAGGTGTACAAAGCTGTAAGATACTCCTTGCTTTCTGAGTTCGGGCATGCATATAACCAGGTGCACCTTCAGGTGAATCCTCCACAAACCTTTTCACGCTTGCTACAGAACGCGAGGAAACTGGGCTGATTTCAATGACGAGGGATCTTCTTGTTTAGATTTTTCTCATCCTTTATAACGTAGGTGGCCAAGGAGAATGGGGTTTGGGAATGAACCATAAATTGGCCATCTAAGAGGCCTTCCACAGGCAGGGAACCCCCCGAGTAGATTTATTATGAGCTCCCCACTACTCTGGGGTGAAGGCTTAGGTATGGAGCACGCAGGCTCCATTGCTGTTGCCAGACAAAATTCACAGAAGTCTGCACCAAAGCCGGACGAGAATTGTAGGAAATCTTTTCTCAATGATTTTTTTCTTCTTATTATAATATGTTAAAAATAGCTTTAAGATAATCTGCTAAATTCATTACCATCAAAGATGGGTAATCCCGCTACTACACGTATAAGGACTGACAGAGAGAGTTGACAGTCACTGAGAGCTTTCAGGCCATCAGAGGCCTTGACAGCGGAACCGCATTAGTATGTACTTCCTTGCAGAATTACCCTTTCTGGGATGCATCTCTAATTTATAAACTGAGATTTTTTTTTAAGTTTCCCACATGAAAGAATGGAAATCAATTATCCCTATTACATTAGTTAGTATCCATTATATTAAGTCCCACCTGGGAACTTTCTTGTAAAATTACATGAGAGAAAAGTCCCTGTCTTGATGAGGAATGGATGTATTTTTCTCCCTACAAA